TGAATTGCCACCCCCCTTGGGCGAGTGGCCTTGCCACAGACCTATAAAACTGAAATGCCGTTGGCATGCAGTCCAACGTGGCGTTGTCTGGATGGGACACGCTTCAGCTGTCGCAGCCATGACCCTGAGAAACGTTCCTTTTCCTCCCTCTTCTCACTTCTTCACCCCCCACCGCGTCTTAGCTAGAATGACATTTGTCTACCGCCGAGAATATTTACGAAAGGTACAGTAATGTCATATTCCCTGGTTTGTTGCGTGTGGAGAGGGAAAAACAACAAAATGTTAACTTGTAGTGTGGTTGTTTTTTGCGTGGGATGCTGCGTTGTGTGAAGGGATGTTTTTTGTTCTTTTTACTATTCTTCCTTCAACACGAGCAGCGTGGAGCAAAGGTGTGTGCGAAAACCAGATTATCGTCATCGATAGGTTTTCTTTTTCAAGCACTATGGAGAGTTGGGAGGCAAAAGGCCTGAAGGACCGTCTCGTGGAGTTGAACGAACTCCGAGACCAAGGCGTCATCTCCGAGGAGGATCATGCCGGAGCAGTGAGACGTGTCCTGGATGAGTTCACGTCGGCCACACGGAGCTCGGAGCACGGAACGCTCGTGGCGCCCCAACCGCCGCACCACGGCACCCACAAACGGTGGCTGGCCGAGGCGCAGGACTCGTGGTCCTTTGTGAACGAGTCCAACTCCCAGACTCCACTGGAGGACAGGGCCTTCCGCCAACGGGGATACGTCGCCCAGGCCCGAGAAGGCGCGCTGACCCCGAAGGAGGTCATTGAGGGGTTTTACCTGCTGTTCGGCAAAGACGGACGCGCGAACGCGGAAACCCTCACACGCATCATCTATGACTGCCGGCCCGAGACGCGGGTGACGCACCACAACTGGCAGGTGCACCGCGACCTGGCCCCGAAAGACAAGGATGCGTACGGGGAGATCATCCCCACCCTGGCCTTCCCCCTGTTCCCCGTCGGCGAACTCGATGGGTTGAACGAGAGGGTGCTACGGGCCCAACGGGCATGGCTCGAGGGCGAACGAGGGTACGCTCAAGCCGAGTTCTCCAGGATCTACAACCTGGAACGGGACGAGCTGCAGTACCCCAACGTGAGCTGTCCCACGGCCCAAACGAAGGCACCACCAGCGCCCACTGCAAATGCCCTCCGCCAGTGGGAGGAGCCGCCATCACGGCACCAGGAACCGTCCATGATGGACATCTTGCGCTCCATACAGGAGTCCCTGGAGAAGCTCGAGCGAGGCTGGTCGACACCCCGTGCCCCGCTCCCACAGAAGGAGGCCCCGTCGGAGCAGTTTCGGTCCAGAGCTCCCAAAACCGCCATATACAAGGGCGGAGACGCGTGCGAGGAGGAATACTCGGCGTCGGAGGAGTTCAACAGTGACCCTGAGGAGAACACCCCGCTCTACTACAAAGCGCGACTTTTCCTCAAAAACCGGGAAAGGCCTGCTGCGGACCTTCCAGTGACCGCAGCAGACAGCGAGGGTGGCTCGTCACCACCATCAACAACAGCTGGAGAACGAAACCATCTTCACGGGAGGCAACTTTGCACGAGGCAAGACCTCCAACGTGGAGATGGACGAGATGTACCGTAGGTACTTGCCGCGAGGCAGCGTCCTCCCTTGTGATACCCTTCCCCGCCTCACCATCCAAGGCGTGAAGAGGATCCAGGAGCGCCTCCGGCACAAACGGCGCATCCTTTTCCCCCTCTTTGTGTGCAAGCACTGGCTCGCTGGCGTCCTCACCCGTTCGCGGGGACAGGCGATCCTCACCTTGCACGACTCGGCCCCGTCCCCGTACGTGCAGCAGGATTTGGCCGCCAAGTTTGCGCGGCTGTGGCCGGAGCTGCTGCTCCAACATGCCCCTTCTGCGCGTCAAAAGCGCGGCAGCAACGAGTGC